ATCTTTCAGCCTTTTATGATTTTTCTGATGAATAATAATTAAAACAGAAGTCCAACAGTGAAACATCTGTTTCAACAAGTCCCAGCTGAAGGTCTTTCTCTAGCTCCCAGGGCATTTTGGAGGGCTTATTAATTTAGCTTATCCTCCATTAAATGTTTTAGCCTTATTCTCGGCATGAACTGTGAACACTTCAACAATTGATCATTCCTTATAAGGAGCTTATATTCAATGATACATTTCTTTTCCACTCCTGATTTATTGTATTTTCAGTGTAAGTGTGTTGACCTTAACTTACTTCAGGTTTGGCATGGTTAGAAAATGTAACTACATTTAAAGAGTCCAAGAGGTTGGTAAAAATCAACTGAGGATAATCAATGATCAAATAGAAAAGAGCAAGTCCTCACCATGACAGTATTAGTTAGTCATGAGTAAACTGTAGTCCAGAGTAGCTCAACAGTTACAAGCCAAGTTTAACTGGTATGACATAGTGACATGAAGATGAAGTCTTTCAGGGTAGCCAAGAATAGACAGAGAGTGGCAAGACAACAGAGCCTCTGGTGGCTGTATTCCAGTTGGCAGTATGATAAAATAGAATAGTTCAAAATTAAAAGACAAACAGGAACAAACATAGGAAGTTCCTTTTGAGTCTGATTTGTACTCACATCCTTTTTCTGGTACAAAGAGCTAGTGTAGTTTCTCCCATCTACTTTTCACTACTGCTGATCACAACACTGAGACATCAAAAATTTTACAGGAAATTACTATAGCATCAACAAAAAAAATCCCCGAGTCCCTAGCTATTCTATCAAAAAAAGCAATGATCGGAATCATTCACATAATGTCCCACTAACTTCCTAACCTTTCTAGAGATCTCCACATTGAGAAGCCTGGCTAAGGCAACACTGCATGAGCCATGTTCCTGAGCCCCAGGTATTGTTAATATTCTTTCTGTAAAGCAGGTTTCCACTGCTTCCAGTGAATCAGAAGCCTCTGTAGCCTCAGAAGAGAGTGGTAAACTTGGCTGATCATTTTCAAAGCTTTGCACGAGGTTTAATTGCCTGACACTGTGGCTCAAATTCATCCATTAGTTTTAACAGCAAAATGCCTGCTGTCATAAATAAATAACCATACTGGGTTTTGGGCAAGCCTTTTCTCTGTGAATGTAACACACTGACATCTAAAAAAACCACCCAAATAATATTAATCTTTTGCTACTGTCCAAGTGCTTTTCTTCCAAGGTTTTTAACATGTTCAGGCACACTAGTGCATTCAGATTCACCACTTGTTTGTCTCATAGTCACACAGATTATAAAACTTTGGCATGACCTTCTCAAGCTAACACAGAAGAACGTGGAAGAACCAGGAATACCCAACTCCTCTGAGTTAGAATAGAATAGAACAGACTAGAATAATTTCAGTTAGTTTCCTGTTGAGTTCTTTAACTACAGGACACCTTATTCCTTGCATATATGTATAAATATTGTAGATGTACAGAGAGAGAAAATACATACAGAGTACACATATGGACCCTGACACAATACAATATCATCATAGAATCATAGAATATCTCAAGTTGGAAGGAACCCATAAGGATCATTGAGTCCAACTCCCTGCTCCTTGCAGGACTACTTAAAAATAAACCATATGACTAAGAGCATCATCCAGACACCCCTTGAACTCTGACAGGCTTAGTGCCATGACCACTTCCCTGGGGACGCTGTTCCAGTGACTGACCACCCTCTCAAGGAAGAATCTTTTCCTAATGTCTAATCTGAACTTCCCCTGACGCAGCTTCATACCATTTCCATGTGTCCTATCGCTGGTCACCAGAGACAGGAGATCTGTACCTCCCCCTCCACTGCCCTCCTTGAGGAAGTTGTAGGCTGCGATGAGGTCACCCTCAGCCTTCTCTTCTCCAAGCTGAACAAACCAAGTGACCTCAGCCACTGCTCGTACGTCTTGCCCTCGAGACCTTTCACCACCTTGGTCACCTTCCTCTGGACACACTCTAACAGTTTGATGTCCTTCTTATATTGAGGCACCCAAAACTGCACACAGTACTTTAGGTGGGGCTGCACTAGTGCAGTGTAGAGTGGGACAATCAACTCCCTCAACCAGCTGGCTATGCTGTGCTTGATGCACCCCAGGACATGGTTGGCCCTTTTGGCTGCCAGGGCACACTGTTGACTCATATTCAACTTGCCATCAAGCCAGACCCCCAGATCTCTTTCCATGGGGCTGCTCTCCAGCCTCTTGTCCCCCAATATTTATATATAACCAGGATTACCTCGTCCTAGGTGCAGAATCCAGCACTTGCTCTTGTTAAATTTCATGTGATTGGTGATTGCCCAGCTCTCTAGACTATCTAGATCTTTCTGTAAGGCCTCTCTACCCTCAAGGGAGTCCATAGCTCCTCCTAGTTTAGTATCATCGGCAAACTTACTTAATGTACATTCATCGCTTGCATCCAGGTCTTTACTCCAGGTAGTCCCTCAGATACTTTAACAACTATGGAGTACAGTAGTCACCCCTTGTTTTTGAGGGGCCAGTACCTTAGGGATGGCTGATAGCTCATTCACTATTCTTTGGATTTCCACTGGGAAATACATTAGGTAATATATATGTATATGGCACTACATAAATGTAGTTTGAAAGGGTGTGTGTCCTGTCCTTGAAAAACAGTAAAGAACAGCAGAACTGCCCAAACTGGTAGGTTCTAATGCTGAGTGAATCTGTAATTTACTTGTTGCTTCTTTGGTCATTTGCAAGGTTAATTTAACTTGTTCATTGCATTCCCTTCTGGCTAGCAAAGACTGTACAATGGAAATAGAAAGTCTTCTTCAATTGAAATCAATGGTAAAAAAAAAATCCATTGACTCTAACAGGAGCAGAATTAAAGCATTCTTGAAAAAATGGGTGACCTATTCTTTCAGCTTTGAAGGTATATTATCAACCCCCCAGCTTTTTAAACTAGCTAACATACACTTGTTACAAGTTGAAACTATCTTTGATGGTATCTTCCAGATTCTTTCTGTAAGCTTTCCAGAACTCATGAATTTTTCTTTATACAAAATTTTCCTTTCAATTCTATTCAAACATTACAGAGAAAAATTATATTATTAATCTGCTTTATCAAATCTGACTGAGTAGAACTTAATTACAGTGATTCTTTTTTTGAGGTTTCTGCATTAATTTTGAGAAATACAAAACACTACATGTGAAGAGCTGAAGCATGCCTTCAGCTGAAGGCAATCTGCAATGACAGGACTTGGAGTGAAATTCCAAAACTTCACAGAAAGCTTGAGTGAAAACTTAAAAGGCAGGTGTGTGAGTTCTGAGCTGCAATCTCCTCTGCCTGTAGGAAAGGGGCAGAAGGAGCCCTACCCATTGGTTTTTCGATTGTTATGCCAATGGATGAGCTCTAGTAGCAATTACCAGTTGTATGTCTTAGTATGTCATGAGGCATTCAGCTCCATGGTCTACATGACCCAGCCCTTTCCATAATCTGATTGGTATTAAGTCCACATCCCATGCTTAGTGTAGAGGTTAATAATATACAAAATTTAACCATATTCATTGTGGGGAACTGATTCAATGGTCCTAACTCAGAATAAAAATACATCTCAAGGCTTATGCTTAGCTATATGTATGACCTGCTTTAGTTGGAGGGAGATAAACTATGTATTAAAGCACCTCCTCAACTGATACTGAAGCTGCAAAATTTTGGAGGGTAAATGAGATGTACATGAAATATGGTACACGGACCCTGAATGCTGTATAGAAACTAGGGTGTTTTTTTTGTTTGGTTTGGGTCTTTTTTTCCCATTTCTTATGTAACAGCCAGATCTGTTCTGTGATTTAATCCTAAATCAAGGTCAAGCAGAGCTTTTTGCTAGGAATACCATCTCAGTGCAAAAAGGATGTGGAAAAACCCAGTTTTAAAACTACTGAATTACTTCCCAATAGCGGTGTAGGGTTAGCTTTACTGAAAATAAGCAGCATAGATTTCTTAATAAAGGAGTTTATGAGGTATCGGAGGTATCAAAGAAATCTTTTGATAGTATTACAAACACCTGGAGAAAGCTCTATTGCTTTCATACAACTGTTGTAGTTCCTACCACGACTGCTCCCTCAGGGTCTATTCACCATTTCCCTGGTTCAACTTTTTTGCAGGAGAAAAGAGAGACATCAGAGAACGTCATCAGTCTTTGATGCAGGTCACTAAAAAGCATCAACATCTATTCATATCAGCTGGTAGGGGGTGTTCCTGGTGTTGTTAATTAGTTGTTACCTAATGCATGATGTGACAATTAGCAGATCAGTTTGTGAAAGGGAACTAAATGAAAAAAGTACAGATACCTTCATGTTCTCTCTTGCAAAGTGGGCTATCTAGAATCTGAAACAGATTTTCCTGCATGCTCAGTGTAGCTACTCCAACAGATGTATTTACAGCTGCACCCACGGAGGTGACTGAATTGCATTCTTGCCCAGAGTTCCACTGTCTTGAGGACAACAATCCATGTATGATCCCCCAGTGGTTCAGAGAGTAGGATCAGGGCATTAAGTACCTCAGCGATGCTTGAAAGTAGATGATTTGGACCACTGACTACTACCTTGCTAAATTTTGCTGAGGAAAAAAAGTAAAGAGTAAAAAGGCCTCTTTTGCTTGCAACATTAGGGCTTTTTTTCATGTTTTGTTTACCCAAGCTATGCTTAATGTTTTGTTTACCCAAGCAGCTTAAAAGTAGGATTATTTTTTTTCTTTTTTTTTTATGAGTAGTCATCCTCAGTCTGACCTCTCATTCCAGTTTCTTCTTCTTGGATAAGCATGCTTATGGCTGAGTTATAACTTCCTGAAAGATAAGGTCTGTGATAAAAATGATGACAATTGTAACCATTGCCTAACCTACTGTTGTGGTCACAACTACAGCAACACAGCAGGATTTAAACTTGAGACCTTAAATGATAAAATAATTGTGGGTTTTTTTTTGTCTTTGCAGTTTCTGCTTTGTGGCATATGTGGAATATTGTGTGCCAAAAAGAAATCTGGACTTGTTGTAAGTTTTTCCACTGCATATATAATACATAAGTATTGGAAAGGCATACTTATCTAACTTAAACTCCTTATTGGGGTCTTTCTGTGTCCAAGTGTTTCTGATAAAAAGTCAGTAAAAATCATTGCAAGTCAGTCCAAAAAAGCAATCAGCACTTTGGGTTAATCAAGTAAAACAAGGCAGTTCTGAAATGGCCTACTTAGGTCATATCTATTTAAGCCATGCATCCCTGTTCATCCCTGCCTGGATAAATTTGGATGGAAAACCTCTTGACAAAAATTTATGCCAAGTCAATAAAAAGTTCCCCAATAATGTCAGTGGATTGTGTCTTCTCTCCTTCGAAAACAAACACTGGGCTGCCACGTCAATGAGGCTGCTGACCAAGTTTGATTCTAGATATCATAGCTGTTCACTGTTTTAATAAGTTCTTTTTGCAATCAGAATCATGTATAAGCCAGTTTTAAAGTGATGGAGGATGTTTTCTGTCTCTTCTAAGAATCAGAAGTACAGCCATTTTTCTGACTGCAGCAAAATGGTGTTATTACTACTCAAGTCGTAGCAGAACTTCATGTTCAAGACATGATCCAATTGTAAGTGATAATGTCTGGCTTAATTTTCTGTCAGCTTGATTATTCTGCCATATACAGATGGAAGTCACATAAGTGTGAAGGGACTCAAGATATCTCTCAGATTATTGTTGAATATCAATGAGCTATCCTAAACCCTGTTACAATTACAGTCTCATTTCTTAAAGCATATGGAGCATAATCAGTTTCTAAAAGTTGTCTGTTCTGGTGGTCTCATAGAACAGTCAGTTCCCAGTGGACTGCATCATATAGCCTGAATGCCACATTCCTGATGATGAAATTCTCATCATGTGTACAGAAGTGGTCTGTAAGGCTCCATAAATTGTTTTTACCACAGTAGATAAGTACATATGCAAAGCCGTACTGAGTAACATCAAAGGCCCATCTAGGTCAACATCTGACAAACCAGCAATATCAAGGGAAGTGAATAAGACAATAATTTAGCAGTGTCTTCATAATAATGTCTTTTGCCCCCGAGCCATTTGTGGTTCAAGGACATCCTGAATCAGGGTGGCATCTTTGTGATTAAACTGATAGGAGGTCTTCAAACGTCTCATTAATTGCAGCCTGTTTCACATCCTTCTAAAGTTCCCAGAAATATTTTAACCAAGTTAAAAACAAACAAACAAACAAACACATAGTCACCACACTGACCTGTAGAGCTGCATCACAGATTTCTTTGTTGTTTCTCTTGCTTCTTTGTCCAGCACATTCACCTTGAACACTTTCGAAGTCCCCACAAAAGCTGTAGAATGCCTCCAAACTGCTGTCTGACTGAACAAACTAGAATTGAACAGGAGACAGAGTCAGAGGGCACACAAAGCAAGAGAGATTCACTGCAAATATGAGGCGTTCACTCCTGAGGAGTGGTGAGAAACTGCACAATAGAAAATTACAACATATACTGTCATGTTACTGTTTTAAGTAAAATGCCGCAAATCAGAAGATTTGTGTCCTAGTAGTTCTTCCATTGACTAGCTTTTAACATGACCAACTCGTTCTACCCAACTTGATCTTACATGCAACATCAGTCTTAACTCTTGTACGCCAGAAGGTATTGTATTCCCTTGGAGCTCTGTGGGAGCTGAGAGAGTTAAAAATTAGTGTCTGTGCAGTGTTTTGTATTCCATGATGCTATGGAAGCATTGAACTATGGTTAGTCTCATTTTTTATATGAATGAGTCTGTCTCTGAAAAATGTTACTGTGACATAACATCTCTTGTCTTTCCTGACAGATGATACTTTTTTCTGCCTGTTGCATCTGTGGACTAATCGGAGGAATCTTAAATTTCCAATTTCTTCGTGCTCTGACAAAGAAGTCGTCTGCCCTCTATTCTTTGCACCTTGCCTCCATGTCTCTTGCATGCATTGGAATTGGTGGTTGCACCCTTTCTTCATGGCTCACTTGTCGGCTAGCCAGCTATGAACAAAGGCGAATGTTCTCAGAAAGAGAACATTCATTGCATCACTCCCATGAAATGGCAGAAAAAGTGAGTTGTGTGTCCTCTCTTATTTGTTCTGCTTCTCCTAAAATGCTACTGTATGTGTTAATGTTTACAGTTGGCAAGAGATGTATTCAGTTTTCAGTTTTATATGAGAAAGAGCTTCTGGGAAATGAAATGCTGCCATTCTGTGTACGCTTTATTATGTTGCATTATATTGAGCTATTTTTAGGTACTGTATATTTGCAGTACATCCATTTCAATGAAGTACATCCATTTTCAACATAATTCCATTGTATAGCTATTCAGGGGCTTAGCTGCTAAATATAGCACTTCATAAATAATTGGAAGCCTTATTAATATGGATTATCATGTATTGTACTATGAAAAGGCACAGAATGCTTTCTGTAACCACATCATTGCATGCTTCCAGGATTTAATCAATTTCTTCCTCTCCCAAGTACTCAGCCTATAAAGTAGGTTATTTAAACACAAAAGCCACAGTTCACAAACCTAGATGACTAAAGCTAAGCACCTAAGGCCATATTTAGACACCTAAATGAAACTGGTCTGATTTGCTGCAGCACTGAGCATTTACTGCCTTTCTCTGTTAAAAGGAAGCTTAACAAGGCATCTAGGTCTATGTTTAGGTGCCAAAACTTAAGCTCCTGCAGATGAGCACATAGGGCCAAAAGAATTAATTGAATAGAATTCTTGAAATCAGCATGGGATTTACAGATCTGATTAACATTTGAGGAGTAAAATGTTCACTGGCATCCTGCGCTTTACATTTGGACTTCATATCCAATGTCTTTCATTTGAGAAATGAGTAGAGAAAGGAACAAAAGTCAAGTGGACTGCCCACCTAAAGCTCCATGTGCAAGTTCGCATTGCAACTCTAAAAGTTCAACAGTCTGTACCATATCTACTGAGACCTCTGAACAGCAGAGCGAGGATTAATTCACTCAGACTGTAGAATGTTTTCAGATTCCCTGACAAAACATGATATAGCAGTTAATTGTCCATTAAGTAAAAATTACTTGTCACTATTCTTTAGTTTCTTAACTGAGATGAGACTCCAAGTAGAAATATAGACTGAATTCACCTTAGACTACGTTTGAAATGTGTTTTAAAAAGTTAAATAATACAGGTTACAACAGTAACATGAAGCAGGGTGATAAAATCAAGAGAAGAGATACATTTCTCCCTCTCATTTTAAAATGAAGCAGAATTCTGATGAGCTATGTAGGCAAGTATGAGCATGGTCTTGCAGATGGTAGGCTAGATCTTGCCTGTCAAAGAGGCTCTTGCCTCATCAAGGACAAAGATGAAGCCCATTTGAAAGAAGAGATGACCTGGGAAGGAAAACCTTTCAAAATACAAACACCTTTCAACCCTATCAACTGGTTTGGGCTGAAGATGACCATGTGTAGCAGTAGTTCACTGCCTCCTTTCCTGGCCTGTTGACCTACTGAGCTTTTACAGACTTAGCAGTGAGTACTGTCAGATGCCCACTTATCTTGGGTGAGGGGCCATGATGCATGTGCAGAGCAACCCTATTGCACATGCTCAGCGAATGTGGGATGTGCCCCGCCGATGGTGGACTCCCTGCATGTGTGTTGTAGAATCAGGTATGCATGCATAGATGGTCTGATCTGGGACTTCTTAGACCTACAGCCTGTGGACTACCTGACGCTGGCAGTACATTAGCTCAAGGCATGCCCCTAAAAAATAATGAAGGCTACTGAAAAGCTTACATTAAATTAGGCCCTGATTTAGAAAATAGCTTTAAAGTGTTTCATATATATGAGACTATTTTGTATATTTATACTGACATACAGTAATATAGACATGTACTGCATGTGCATTTTTGTGCTATATTTATTGTATAATTGTTATATTTATATTAGAGATTGAGGGGTATTGAAATAACCGACCTGCCCAGCTGCCCGGTGGTTCCCCCGACACCAGAGTTACCTCCAAGGTACGCTGAACACTAGGGAGCTACCATGTTGTTATGTCACTTCAGGAAGGGCCACCTCTAAGAGGAAGTCATAGTTTCAGCTAATCAAAGTTGGCTGATGCTGTGATGTCACTCTGAGTCAGGAATGGTGCTTCCAGGTAGTGACATAATTCTACGTGGTGAACGCTGCAATCTGGAAGTAAGTTGAGTATTTAAAATATTCACCCTAGTTATAGACATCCAAATGCTCCTATTTGGATGTTGCCACCATTGACTCACTCTGCTTCTAATCTGTGTGCTCCTTCATTTCTTGAATTCAGCAACATTTTTTAATTTATTAATACTTTTATTTTTGAAAATAGAAATATTGGGGAAAATAAATGGTTTTCAATGTTTTCTGAAACTATGATGATATTCCAATAGCTGATGTCTGCAGTGATTCAAGTGATAAAGCTGACAAAAGGAAATTTACACTCACTCATGAGTAGCCTTCTGACAGATCATTACCTGTGGCTGACTGATAGTTAATATTAAATGTCTTTAGTATTCTTGGTCCCTTTCCCAGCTGACTGATATCTTCAGCGTAGATCCAACAAAGGGTTTAGGCACCTACAAACAGGCAAAATGTAGCGCTTTGTTTCAGAGCAGACAACCCCCAGACTGGGATCCAGAGTCCAGCGTTAGGCATGCCTGTTCCTCCTCAGTATATGAGGAGAATAAGGCACCATACAAAAGCATCCAACACCATCACCTGCCAAATGGAGAGCTGGGTAGTAGAAAACGCTCAAAATTCAGTAAGTTTACACACCTTATTTTCTCTGAAGCTCACGCTCGATTCAGGAGTATTAATTGGCAAGGCTACTTGGTTTGGTGGTTCTAAGTTTACTTTGTAGAGAGAAATAGGATATCCTTTCTTTGAAAAACTGTGCAGGGAACAATTGTCTTGTGATCTACTTTAAAATGTAGCTAGTAATACCTGAAAGAGGAGGCACTCTGAGTTCTGGTCTCTGCCTCGCAAACTATTTATAAATCAAATATTGTGGATTAAAAGAAGAGAGAGAAAGAGTCAGACTAGGAATAAAGACCAGGTCCCAGAATTTTCTTCTCTCTACCAAGAATGTCAGCTACTATGTTATAGAGTCAGGCTCACTCTTTCTGTCTTTCTCTGTTTAGCCCAATGAATCTTCCTTTTCTTTCTTCATAGAAATTTCCACAAGAAGGGGGACAAACAAATCCCTTTCCTTCCACATTTTCTCCAAAGTGTAACTAGGGGGTAGAAGAGGTGAATTTAATCTTTCCATGCAGAGAAGAGCTTCTGGTTTTTCTGCAAATATTTTAGAACTAGCCTAACAGTGACACCTCTACCTAAATTTTAAAAAAGAATTGCCCACACTGCATTTTTATGTGTGCCCATTCCTCTTGGCATAGCTGGATGTTCTCTGGGATCTGTCACTGGACATAAGCAGCAGGTCACTTCACTTCTGCTCCTGGATTCAATTTGGCATGAAATAGGCCTAGGACTGCTCAGAATAAGGCCATTCTGAGCATAAACCTATGTGGCTTTGCAGCTGTGAAGGTCAGAGAACTGCTTAATTAATGTAGCCATCTCCAGGTTTAGACAGCTGCTAAGTAGGTATAGTTTGGATTGCAATTTGAGAATTAGAAAATCTAACTCCAGACAAATCTTGGTTTAGGTACTTTAGGATTCTGACTCATGATCAGGTCAGTTTACTCCAGGATGACTCATCTGCCACTTGAGTAGCAATTGCTGAACTGCTAAAAACTGTAGTCTGGCATATTAAGGGAAAACCAAAATCAGTCCCATCCCAAGGCAAGCAGTCAAAACCCTTACGTTCTGTTTGGATCTAGGCCTACTTCCCAAATGTCTATCCCAGCTAGCATCAAATGGTATCTGTTTGTAGCATGTCAGCACAGAAAAAGGTTTGAATGGAAACAAAGATTTAATTACCATCTTGTTCCTTTGTAGATTACCACAAAAGCTTGAGTTGATGCACTTTCAAAGGACAATGTCACAAAATTTGCAGAGATGCCATCAATGCTATATATGTTGTCTGAGAGTAATGTCCAACTCAATCAGTATCAATGAGTCTATCAGCTTTCAAATGTACTTAATTTACGTAGGAAGAAATGCAATTTCTTTTTTTTTAGTGAGGTTTATCAAGCCAAATAAAAAAATGTAGAGTTTTTCTGAATGTTTGCAATTCAGAGTTTGTTAAATTTTTATTACAACCTTAGTTAATTGAATTTCAAATACCATAAAATAATTGTAATTTTAATCAGTGTTTTCTATTCTTGTTCTAGGAAATGACAGACAACCTAAGCAATGGTGGCCCACACTTGATTTATAATGGAAGCGTATATTAAGAGATTTTAAAAAGTCATGGAAAGAAGAAGTTTTAGAATTTTCTTCAGGAAAAAAATAGACTCCAAGAAACTGAGAAAATGGAACTATCTTAGCTTTTATGGCTCAAATGTCACAACTGCAGAACAGCACAGTTGCATCTCCCTCTTAGCGACATGTTCAAAACTTGTCTTCTAAACATTTTGCGGATATACAATATTTATTCACTTCCTGGCTACTCTCTTTTGGTTTTTTTTGTCTGAATAACTTTTCAGAATTGTAACAGTATTTGAAATAGACTTCTCAAGACTCTTCTTCTCATGAAGATGCAAAAACCAGAAAAAAATAATTAAACTGGACCACATTTAGCCTGGTCACAGGATTCCTAAAGAGAAGAGAAGAGGGCAGAGGAAGGATGGCTGAGGGGAATTTTTTTCTCCTCCCCACTTAGCAGCATCTGGTGTAATATGATGGCTTCATGTCATGTGGCATGGTACCAGCAATGCATCTGCACAGTCCCCCTCCCCACACTGCAAATGCATCCAGCCTCACTTTTCCCAGTAGATCATATCAAAAGAGAGCGCAAATTACTCTTCCAAAAGGCTCCCATTTCACATTCAGAGTGTAAATGAACAGTGTGCTGAAAACACCACCAATGTCTTTGTTTTGAAAGACAGAATGCTCTAAGAACGCCATAAATCAAAACCTCAACAATGCCTTGTTGTAAAGAAATTGTAAATATTTCCAATTTGTGGATGAAGTATATTTCGTAATTTGTTCATAAAAGATGACAAATAAAATTAAATCTAAGCCAGAGATTTTAGAGAGATATTTTGGAGTTTTTTCTTGTTAGAGAGATCTTGCAAAGCTGAACCATCACGCTTGCAGTTTTGCACAACACTTTGAAAGGTTCTTAAAGGGGTGAACCAAGCTCAGAAAGGAGAAAAACGAATGCTGAACAGAGGCATGGTCAAGGTCAGAACACACTGGGAATTCTGCACACCCACAATAATTTGGGGTCTGTTAAAGCAGTGTGTATGTTAAGGCAGCAGTTTTAACTGACCCCAAACTTTATCATAAGACCTACTGGCTCATATAGCCATGAAAAATGGAAGATGTAATCTGTAACAGAACATATACAGCATAATATTCATATAAAATATGCATATAAAATCATTCATTATTACATAATGAGTCTATCACTGTGCTGTGAAGCCCAGCACTTCAACATGAGTTTGAGATGTAGGCATTATTGATGACTGGCAACATTCGGTGGTTTATACCTATGTTCCCAGACAAATGTGAATAGAATCTTATTCTTATTCCAGCCATGCCATAAAAACCTCTAGAAATTATATTAAATCGTTTTGTGAATCTATATGGTATAAAATAATCTTTAATCCAATTATTTTAGGATTTTCTAAGTCTGTAAGGGAGTTTCCTGTCTAATTACAATATATGAAACATCTTCACTGTGATGTAAGTCTCTCCCTTAAACTGCATGCAAATTAATTGGATGGCTAAGCTTGTGAGTCAAAAAATGGTCGACCTTATGAGGCTTCTCTTCACTTACCTACTGTCTCAAAGGATATAAATGTGGTCATAGCAAAAGAATTAGGTGTTAAGGCATCCCGGCTCAAGGAAAGTGATTCCCTTCCCAGGTCCTACCAGCCTTTAGACTGTCTCCCCTACTACATTCCCCCTTGTTTAGGCTGTTTATAGGTGCCACTGCCTCTTCAGCTTCATGCTCCTCTTCCTCAGCAGCAGGAAAACATGGGATATATCTGTCTCCAGTATGTGCCCCTTCTGGGAGCACTTTTGCTGCAGCTCTGGAGACAACCTGTCAAGGCAGGACTACTATCTAAAAGGGCTGCAGAGTTTCACACAGGTTGAAGAAATCTACACTGGATGTAGAACCAGAGGTCACTCTGTAAGAGTCCCTTCCTCATTGCACCAGTAAAAAGCCTGTAAAAGGGCCTTATCAAAGAAAAGCAAAAGTAAAATAAAAAATGACTCAAAAATCTACATCGGAAGTACCGGGCTGAGGTTCATCACTAGCTCTGTAGGACAACTGTAAAATCATTGTACAGAGGTATCTTGTGACACCTCAGGACTAGGAATGGTAGTTTCAGAGAGTGGTTTGGAATTGCAGTTCATAATCTGCTCAGGAATGACATGAAAGAACAGACCATAATGCCACCCATTTACTTATCACAAACACTTCACTTCCTGGCATGGTAGTAAGAGTATGGGATGGTGCAGGGGAATGGTGATTATTCTATACCCAACACAGTAGTCCAGGCAACAGCCCCTTTCTCATGCTTTGGAAGGGAAAGGAGGACACATTCTCCAAGCTCACAATGTTTGAAGCCTTACTGTGATTTATGAAATACAACCACACCACTTCTACTGCTTTTCAGGAGGTGCTGGAAAGAGAGAGAGAATCTGGGTTCCAGAGAACAAAAGATTCAATTGTTTGGGGTTTTTTTTCTTCTTTTGCTGCCAAGCCTGTAGAATGCAGAAAAACTGGCTGGTCCCTGCATTAATAAAAGCCTTGAAAATGCAAAGCTGGAATTCAAAAGACTTAGGAACAAATGTGACAAAGATGACTGTTCCTACCTGAGACATACAAAGAGGATCAGAATTCTTAAATTCAAAGTAAATTACCATAATATATGGATGTGGTAAGGGAATTCTAGGAAATGTTTCGCTTTGTTTAATGGAGTTTTTTTCCATAACTGCACACAGAGTTCAGCTGTAATGGAAATAATATTTTCTGCATGTTTTCATTACTGGTACAGTTGAAAGGACACTCATTCCACTTATCCAACTGTATGAAAACCAAAACTTTCAGTTTTCAGAACGTGACCGGCCAACATATCTACACCAATAGCTTGAAGGCTGGGCACCAAAATCCATTTTAATCTAAATAAGATGAAGCATGTATTGTCCTTGACACAGTTATTTCTGATCCATGCTGCTGTAAAAGCAGATGCTGGCTCAGATTCTCTCAGAGATACTCAGCCGTTATTTAATAGGTCAAGCAACACTCTTCCTGAAGGGGCTTACTTATTGAACTTTGTGCGTAGAACTTAGCTGGTAAGTCCTTAATGTGTGTTTTAATAGTTTAGGCTATATTTTAGGCTATGCTTGACGTTTCATAGAACCTCAGCATATGAGAAACACATACTTGTTTTGAATTTACAAAAATGAACAGTTCTTATTGCAAACTGTGCAAAAAGTGCATATAATATGTTTTAAATTTTTGTCTTGCATAATCTTCAATATATATTTGTTGCATTAAGACATATGAATTTCCCTTCAGATGGTCTGGGGAGGTATGAAGAACAGTGGACCAGGTCAGATTCAATAGAAAATTTATATGCAGTAAGCCATAATCACAAATAGTCATATCAAAATTTTCTTTGAGAGTGTGATTTTGAAGATAGAGGGAAAAGAGAGTATAATGGCTTAAGCCATTTTTAATCCTTTCAGATCCCAGTCTCAGTCAGGTTAAGGAGTTAAAAGGAGCCTTTTATAATTAAAAGCTTAGAAATATCTAAAAGCAGACTGTTATTAGACTACCATACCATTGTAGATATTACTGCATAATCCTTCTGCCTAAAATTATTCTAGCTAGCTTCCCCTTCCTGTATCAAAGTGACACCTTTAGCTCCACTATAAACCTCCAACAAGTTCCACAAAGCTGTTGTACATGCACCTGGAGACAGATTTTGAAGAATATTTTTAGAACTTGTACAAGGGCTAGCAGACAGACTCACAGTCTCCAGGGGGGGGCGGGAAAAAAAAAAAGAAAAAGCAGAATGTTCTTCGTAAAACATAATTTGATTTGAGTGAAGATGCTAAACCCACCCTAGTTTAATATCATCAGCCTGAGGAACTCTGAGTGAACTTGGGAAGCTTGCTCAGGAAGACGTTTTTTTTCCGCCTAATCATAAAATTATGAAAATGCGATTCAGTGTTCTGAAGGAAAAGAGGGAACTGGGTGAGATGAATCAGTAGCTGGAATGTCAGCAGAAAGGTGTGTGCCTGGAGAGACTTGTTTGGCTGTGAAAGTGTTGTTCTGCTTCAGAAAGAAGCAGCTTTGATTTGGAGCAAAAAGTCCAGCTTTGTAATCAGTAGAAGGGTTTTTTTTTCCCAGAGATCCTTTCTGAAATCCACTTTTAATCCTGCTATAAACTGCAAAAATGTGTCATTCTAAAAATATATAGTTATGGCATGTTGAACAGGTTGACCACATACATTAATTAAAAATAAATCTCTATCCATGAAAATAGCTGTTTTGATGAACTGGCGTAATGTGCAATGGGAACATGCTGGGAAGGCAGGCAGGAAGAGGGACCACAAACACAACTGAAAAAGCCTTGAACTGCAAAGTGTCATTACAGTGCTGCATATAATTCTACTGATGTAAACCAGGTATATGAGTCAACACAACTTCTCTTTGTAACCCTAAGAAAGCAGACATAGATTTAAAAGGAGCTAAGAGCCGTTAGGATTTCCTGCCTTATTTCTCACATCCCATTACTGGTAGCTAGTGTGAGACAAATCAAATGGTGTAACTGCGCCCACAAACTTGTGCAGATCCTCTCCCACATCATTAGGTGAAACTTTTTTCTCTCCCTCCCACTTCATGCTGGTTCAAGCTAGGAGGTCATGTCTTATATCTTCCTTTATCTCTTCTCTTCTGTTAAAATACAGCTGTGTCCTTTAAAGTCTTTAGTACTGAATAAATTCTTACCTTCCCTGCCCAGAGAAAGCAAACAGATCATTGCCTTCATTTTACAGGCAAATCTAAATCTAAACCATGAAGTCCAAACACCCAGGCTGACAGTATTAAATTCCTGTGGTTTGCTACACTTACTGATATCATGGCTGTCTTCCCCCCTAAATCCAGGCATAAACTCCAGGACTGCTGACAGATAATATTTTTCTAAGGACTATTTATTAACTGTGTAGCACCCTGGAAAAATATGTGTATCAGAGCTCCTTTGGTAACCATTACACATAAAGGACAGTAGGTTAATACTGATACCCATGCTGTGGTGGCAGCAGCAGAGAACCTGAAAGGGCCCAAGAGTTCTGGATCTAAACCTCACAAAAGGCATGGGATTTTGTACGATCATATTTGTGCAAGGGATTGGTTTTTTTCTATTTTATCCTTGCTAAAAATATTGCATAAAACTATGAATAACACTGTTAAGTTTGTAAATTATGACATTCAAACATGAAGAAATGTCTGAATGGATTTTAAGACTAGATAGCACCTTATGATCAACTAGTTTTTCCTTCTGTATAGCACAAGACATGATACTCCATCTGACAATTCCTGTATCAATCACATAACATCTGGGTAAGCAACATACATTTTTAGAATGAAATTGGATCTTTATTTAAAGACTTCAAAAGATGTAATCTATTACTTTCCTTATTCCAGTGAGCAGAAACTTTCCCACTTTAAAGTGATTTGTTTCTATGCAGAATTTTTTTGCGTTATTTTCCAGGCACTGGCTCTCACCATGTTACTGTCTGCTAAATTAAGGAGCCTGGGAGAAACTGGGATCAAGTCATGTCTTAACCATCTCTTGGGTCAGCTTCTTAAATTCCCTCACTTTGGGCAGATTTCCAGACATTAAAAATATATATATATATGTTTTATTTCTTTCCCAAACCTTTTCCAATTTTTCCATGTAAACTTATTCTTTCTTTCCTGTGCATATGAATTATGTCAGTACCTTTAACTACTTATCCCATTCACCCCTGCCTTACCAAAGTTACAATGGACCAACAGCCAGCAGGCTAAGAGTTCTTATCTCATCTCTTTCCCCGATTGCCTTGAACTAATCTTTATACTATAAGGATCTTAAAATTCAATAAAATTTCATACTCTCTTGGCTTTCTTTCCCCAGTTTCTTCTCAGACAAATGGCCTATTTTACTCCTAGGAGTAATGAAGAAAATAAGGAATTCTTTATGTTTTAGAATCTGTCTCCTTCCCTGATTTCTATCAGTGGATAGAAAAATCTTTTGTGTGGATTTGTTTCAGGCTGGCAAGTTTACTTTAACACTGTTGCTTATACACCTAGGATCTTAAAACGTTTACACCATGCAATAAGGAATTCTGCAGAACCCCCGTAATCCTCAGATGCAGAACCAGTTACCGTGTAGTTGTATTAATGAGACACTCCTAACCTGAGCTAATTAGCCACGCTGAGAGGTAGGGCTGACAAACCTGAACATAGAACCACACACACAGGAATATATTGCTTCTGCACATTACAGATCATGTACATTAATGCACTGTGTGGCACAGGCACACCTATAGTGCTTCAGACTCATGCCTAGCTCTGCTATGGCTAGCTTTCAAAGCCAACTGTCAAACAAAGCTGAAAGACTACACAATTACATTTCCATCTGTCAAAAGAAAGACATTTGCCTTATGTTAAATGGCATGCTCAAGAGGGAGTGACCTTTCTTCCCCACCTTATGGTACATGTTAGGTTTTTCAGAGTCTATGCTATGGACTTGGGTCATAACAGCCTCTTGGCAAGTAATGCAGCGGGAATGAGCATCCAACAAAACGGCTTCAAGGATATATAAATACTAATTCGTTGCAATTTGCCATTCAAGAAAGTGTTGCAACATTCTTAACTCTGTGGTAATTCTATGGCTACAGCGATGAGCTTGTGTAGGCACAAAGGAACCAACTGCATCCCTGTTGCAAAACTGGAAAATTTGGAAAAAAACCCTAATTCTGAGAAAAAGAGTTGAATGATGTATTGGCACATCATACATCTAATGGCAGTAAAATAAAAAAGGAGGAAAAACAAGGTAGGTTTATTCAATATACTTTTAAATTCTTCACTCTCATTTTAACAATTTTTTTTGTGTTCAATTTATTCTTGTATGTCATGTTTGGGAGTCTCCTATCCTGTATAGTATTATATTCAACATTTGGTTTGAAAATCACACACACATAAAAAATAATGACATTAATTGTTCATGCCTTATGAACATAGGGTAGTATGTACGTGTATGTTGGGGCCTAACTTCTGAAATACTAAATTAATGTTCCTTTTGAGGACTACATATAAATATGTGCTTAAGGAACTGCTTCCACTGAGAGCAACGAGACTAAGACTTATGTTTAAAGCTAAACCTGGACCACTGTCTCAAACAAGGATTCTTTTGTGAATGACAGCCTAACATTGAGATGAGTCCAATGACTAGTAATACTTGGTTTCCAGTGGTGTCAATGTGAGAATCAGGCCCGTAATCTGCATCGCCCTGAACTCTGCAAAAATAGCAACTGGATGTGCAGACTAAAGGCACAGAAGTGATCTGTCAGAATAAATGGATTTTATAAGTACAGATTTATTGGAGGGAAAAAAAAAGGGAAGAGACAAACAAAGGGATTTCTACTGCCTTCTCCCCATCTTTCCATTAGCACCCAATAGTGAAAAATGCCCATTTGTATCAGTCAATGCAATCACAGCTGTCTTGCCTGCACAGTCCCCCGAGGTAGACTGCACCATCCCTCACCCCTCACGGCACCTACAATTATAGTCTGCAATACCTGCAAGTCTTTAAGATGACTCTTTTTAATGGTTCCCCCAAACACACCGCTCCTAACCCCAAAAAAGGTTCATGCATGGACTTGGAAGGTTTGTTTGGAAGGATTTACTTTTGATTTCAAATAAATGTACATTCTGGGGACTTCCAGGATATTCACTGGGTCTGTCAAGGAATGGAAACATAACAGATGCCCACCAGCTTACTGGCAAAGAGAAGAGGTTCTGTCAAAACAGCACATTTATTTGGAATTAAGAATCTAATTTTAAATCTCTTTCTTTGACAACACTCATATCTTTGGCATTTACATTTCCAATGTTTATACTACTGTCTTAAGAACACTTAAGTAGAACCTTTATTTCCAAATAACGTTTCATAACTTGGCAGACTCATGCTCACTTTATAAATATAAGAACTTTAAATCCTTTTCCATATAAACATATGTAATATTTCCTACCAAAAGTGTGTGACAGCCAACAAGTTCAATTATTCTCAATCTATAAATCTGTACAAGACAGGTCATCCAAAATAATGCATCAGCCCAGGCATAATTACGACTATGCATGTCCAGTAAATAAATAAATAACGTCTCAGTATGAAATAGCAGCAACTTGCCAGGAAAATTATACTGTGTGTTAGAATATCCCATAGGTTCATTGGAATACAGTTGCAGTGAAAAATGACAGGAGGCCTCTTCCTCCTAAGAGTGTTCACAGTTCTCTGCTGAGTCGGAAATCAGCAAAAAGTGAGGAAGAGAAAGACAGCCCAAGTTGTGCTCTTCGCCGGTATGCAGGCAGCCCGGCGGGGAGGAGGCCGCCAGGGAGAGCCGTTCAGCTCCTCGGGTCAGCAAGCGTCTGTGGAGATGGTCCAAAGATCCGCAACACTGATGTGGGCACCTTGCCTTCTGCTCCGAAACACAGAATGAAAACAGAATGACAAAAAAAGAGTGTATTTTCCAACTGACACCCTCCGTACACAATGCCACATGAGCAGTCCCACTGATTGCACAGAGGGTGATTACAGAAGCAGACGCTGCTCACCAAGAATGAGCGCGGTGCTGGTTTAGCCCAGATGACTTAGCTTTTTGGACAGCTCAGCAGCAAGAGATTAGGAGCAAGCCTAAGCATGGGTTTAAGCGTGCTGAACCCTGTGGCCTTCACTGTTCCTAGCTCCCACCGGCTGCCAGCCTGGCTGCCGCAGCCACGCTGCCTTGGCAGAACTGACCCTTGGCTGCCTGGGAGTGGACCGGGCTGCAGGCAGTTGCACCACACCGGACTCCTCCGGCCGTGAAGAAGGTGGGAGATAGCTAAAGCACGCAGTGTCCTCCCACCGCTCTCCTCTGGAGTTTGGATTGAGCCTGGTTGCCCTGGTGAAGCTGAGTTTGACAACAGGCCTGGATTTTCTTAGAAAGCCTCCAATGGCAGTAGCGTAACATGGACTCAAACTGAGGCTAAGCATACTCTAAGACCATGTAAAATTAAATCCCACTGATGAGTCCAGTACAGCGTTAAAAGGCATTAGATTCTGATAAATGCTTTGGGTAGCTGCAGACGAGGCCTTGCGAGCCTGATATCTTACGTGCCTTGTTCTCAAAGTGGGATATCCCAAGTTGCTTTAGATATTTGGCTAGTCGGGGAGAAAGGGGAATGTTTCCAGAGGAAACACTCCCTGTTCTCAGGATCCAGAGCTCTGAATCTTTACCTTAAATGGGGAACCTGTGAAGGAACCAGGCACTTAAAAGCTCAGGCTGCTTCGAGATGACTTCACGGTTCTACCTCTCACATCACAACTCAACAGCAAGAGCCCCTTTTGCTCAGCCTGAATGCATTCAAGCTCCTATCCCCATTTCTCAGCATGTTCACCAAATGTCTGGCTAAAGGTTAAGCTGGGAGGCCCTCTTCTGTCGAAATGAAGCAGGCATGATTTACTGCACAGAAAAGCACACAAAGCGGCTCAGCTCTGGGAACTACTGATTAGGATAGTCAGCTACAAGCCCTGAATTTTGCTGTCAGCTTGTCAACTGTTTCTTTCAGGTTTGGGTGTTGGGGGTTCTTTCCTCCACGACTGCCTAAGCAAACCTGAAAGCAGAAGCAGACTACTGAAAAAAAATCAGCATTACTCGGTGCCACTCCCTGCTCCAGCAGCTGCAGGACAGCTCAGTTTTAACCCACTTTTTTCCCGTCCTCCCTCAGCCATACAGCTGGGTTGTTAAAGCACTCCCTGATACTGCAGTTTTGCATCTCCTCTGTCTGGGAAGGGAATCAAAGCCACTTCCCAGTTCACTCTTCTGGCCGCTACGTAAAATAAGGGCTTGTCATCCACCCGCATTTGAAAAAAGACTACAAATGTGTTGCAGGGAGCAGACAGATGATACTATCCATGTATTTTTATAGGTATTCTCATTATATCGCACAGATTAGGGCCCTCAAGACCTGTTCTGCCTAGAGGCTGGCTCCTGGCAATGTTTAGGACGGAGCTGGAGAAGGAGCCTTTTGAAGCGGGGCAGGTCAGCCCAGTGCACCACACTGAGCTTCAGGCAGCACAGGACAACTCATACTGAGTTTTGTCCCAGGATTAAAATGGAGTTTCTGAATTGGCACCTGTAATCCATCTCAATCCCATTTTGGCTGTCTAAGTCTTTAACAGGATCTGATTCTTTCTGTACAAGACAGTTCAGAGCTTTGTTTCACCAACACAATGCAGCCTAACAACAGTTCCTGCACTGGTATATACAGGCATGAACCTGTAACATCACTGATCCTTTGTCCTTACCATAAGCAACCCAGTAAATAAAAGGGGGACACCCCCCGCCATTAGTTGAAAATTCCATTACAGACTTAATTGGCAAATTGTTCTTTCACTCTCAGAAGTAAAGATTTAAACCAAAATACTCAGATTTGTTATCCCCTTTCTTACCCTGGCTGAAAATCAGTATTACTTCTATTCAAGTCAGCAAGGTTAAAAGCAGACATGGGAGAAGAATCAGTTCTTGAGACCCTTCCAAAACCCTCCAAACCTACAGTGAGTGCATAAAGTTAACTAGTGAGGTGTACAAGATGCAACTGAAAACATAAATAATTTTGGCAAGTCAGTGTTTTTTGAGGTTGTTCCTTCCTACTATTTCCTAAAACAACCACATCCAATGTTGCTGTATTCCTTTCCTCATTAGAGTATTGCCCAAAGGAATGATGATAACCCACCATAGTGATCAGATCACCTGAGAGACTCTATTACTCTGCAAAACATGTTCCACTGGAATTACTTTAAAGATGAAAAATATCTGCTTCTCCTACCTGTGGTTAAAAAAATAATTAAAAAATACTTTCCATGAATGAAAAGACTTTGGTTTTTGATAATTATTGCAATACACCTGAGGGAGTTACATCATTACTAACCTGAAGCTTTTGTAGAAAGCTGTTGCTCATGGAAAGCAACTCAGAGTTCAAAGGCTTCATTTATTGCTTTTTCTTTATCCTGTCTAGCTGAAAAGAGACTGGGCAGATTTTTTTCCCCATTGTTGTAGTGACAAGCTAGTTTTCCCCAAGATTTTGTGTCCTATTGTTGCTGTGGCACTATCTGACTCTCTGCATGCTGACAGCAGTATGAATCCTCACACTGACTTTAGCTGGCAGTTTTTCAAGTCTAAGGTTCTCCTTACCTACATGTAATTCTGTCCCATGGCTTGGACTACTGGAAAGAAAGGACTTCATTGTGTAGACTTAAAAGCAGTACAACTACTGTGACATGGCAAAGTATGAGTATTTTGGTTACTCATATGGTCTTTTCATAGTGAGATAAAATACCTTTCTTTAATAGTAACAATGCAGCTGTAGTTCAGTCTCTCTTACCGATGAGTACATATGTAATCACCTGCAAATGCTGCCAAGGGAGCCATGACTACACAAAATCATTGGGTTTATATGAGGAACACTAAAAGATGGGGTTCAAATTCTATTTAAAGAATCAAATATACATGCCATGTTACTGGCTCAGTGGCTGAAATAACACTGTGCAAAAATAATATGTTAAGATAAGTAAAAAAGCATATTTCATCTAGTAATGTCAAAGTACTTAACGAGCATGAATTAACACTTAAAACATCTGTGTGAGGTTAATATTATTGTACCAAACTGATATGTAATCTGAAGTCAAGATAAATACAGTCAAGCTGATGGGCCCAAAGTCTCAAACTCAATTGCTGACAGGGCCCTGAGTACATTCCCTCCCTCCTGGGGTTTTGGCTGCTTGGGCTAAGACCCAACCTCAACAAGCAGCTCTCAGGCCTTGAAATGGTTATGAAGAAAAAGCTCTCTGAGAAAAACCTGGAAGAAGCCTCAGCAGAAGCTCTCCCTTTTTCTTGGGAGATTAATTTAAGTGGAGGCTCAACCTTGGTCCCTGTTGCAGGTCCACATGTGCTAGGTCTTGAATCTCTCTGATTCTGAACCCAACCCTGACCCAGCAACTTGGCTTTTAGGCTTGACCTCAGACTTGCCTCCTCTCTACGGACCTGTTGGGCTCATGGTGGACCCCAGCTGACCCTGGTTACCATCAAGGACATGCTCTGCTCTTCTAGCTCAGGTCCTGTGGGACAGTGCCCTTGCTGCACCCTGGCAGTCACTAGCAGGGCCAACTGAACAAACCAAACATCTAGTTTTAACTTTAACTATTAGGCAACATGCCTTACAGACACATGTACACACATTTCAACATAAAAACAAAGTTAGGCTTAAAAAAATGGTATAAGAAACATGATCCAATTACATGATCATAATTTTAAAAGAAAAATTTGTTGTATTTCCAGAGTGTTAGGTATCTGAGAAACTCTTTTATGGCAACAGCAGAAAGAAGTGTTTTAACAGCAGTAATATATGGCTTCTTATCACTGCTAGTAAGAACTTTCAGCATCCTTTGCCTCACCAGTTCAACAGGGCTATTATACCCTCTAGCTACTTACTAACCCAACCAGTAGTGGCAAAAAAAAAAAAAAAAAAGGAAATCATACACCAGGAGCCTCTTACTAATCTTAAATAATGCCATAATAATAGTAGCCAGCCCCAAGAGGAATGCTTTTTACTTGATTTTGCAGATAGCATACTCAAACGGCTAAGCTGCATGTTTAACTGGTGTATTTCAGGAAATCAGATCATTTTCTTTCAGCATATTTGAGTTCCTTTATTGATGAGGGCACTTGCAAGTATCACAAATAGCTAGAGGTATTTACAAGAAATTAATTTAATTAAAGAAAACAAAAGCAAATATTTTTTAAGCCATGCAAAACACGCTAATATAGATGTTTACGAAGTATAAATCATGGGTAATGTCTGTTTGCTAAGTGCAAATTATTCTAATTGCACAATTCAATCAAGCTGTCTGTAAATTCAAATTCCTCCTTAAAACATACATGTATTCTTTAAATTCTTTCACTATTAGCTCATTAAGCCCCAAATATAAACTTACATAAATAAATACACTTAGCATTTCAGCTTCCCACTCACGTCTCTCATCTATCACACATATCTAATATGCACAGTCCTTATCTTGCAAAAATGCATGCAATGGAGAAATACCCTCTGGGAAGTTACACTGATTTCAAGAAAAGTTCTCATTTACATGTCTTACAAGACTTATAAGAATACATAAGGGGAACACAGGATCTGTATATAGACTATTGCAAGATCAGCACTAGGCGCAAGTAGTTAAAAGACTGCTCTGTGCTCTGCTGTCCTGGTCTAGACTCCTCTCCTCCCCACACTCTCCACAGTAACTGTGCTGTGCAGAGACTGCAGAGTGTTGGATGAGCCCAGGAGACTGGTTCACTGGTGAGAGAATAATTTAAACTCCTAATTCAAAGTCTTGCTGGATTGCCCTCTTTGTCAAAGGCCAGTCTCGCTTGGGAAGCGACACTGATTGTGGAAATACCTAAGACTCCAGCCCTTGCCAACACTTTGACACGTGCTTATCTGTTAGCATGAGCAGTTTCATTGAAGTCCATTTTCAGCGCAAAGCGTTCTGTGTGCGTAAGTGTTGAAGGGCTGAGATTTAAAATGCTGCGCAACTAGAGGCCGGCAATGTGACATTTCCAAATTTCCTTCAGCACCTGATCATTAGCAAATATCAGCAATGTCACAATACTGAGCAGCGCTGAGAGCTGCAAATGGAGGGTCACATTATTTTTGGAGCACAGAGTGCTTTTAAAAAGCCTATTTCAATTTGCAAAGTACGCTGATGCAATACACTGCTGTTGTGCTGAGTAAGCATGTTAGTTACGCTTTGCCTCATCCAGCATATACTACGC